CCTGCCCGGTGACGCCGTGCCGACCGGCCGGCCGGTCGGGAATCCTGCCACACCGCCAGCCGGTGGTATCGGCAGAAATCGCGGTTCAGGTGGTGGGCCGCGGGGGGGGGGGCGCAGACGGGAACACCCGGGCATTCTGCAGGCGCAACGGGGGAGCGAAGGGAGCCAAAGGCGTATTTAGTCCCAGAAAGGGTGAGGAAAGACCTTTTTAAGTCCATCCTTACTTTGCCTTGGCATGGGGTTAATGTGAGCTTTTACATGTCGTGGGTGGGGTATGAACCCCTCGTCTCTCTGCCCCCGCGCCCATACCGGAAGGGGTGTGGGAATGCAGACAGGCGTCGCTGAAAGACCAGGCTCGCCACGAGCGATCAAGACGGCTCGCCAGGTGGGGCGTTCGGGGTGGGGGAGCACGAGCGGGACCGCATCATGACGAGAAGATTGCCGGGGCGCACCGCGACGGCCGCAGAAGATCGCTGCGGGTCGGCATTCCGCGCCGCGACGACACGGCGCTTCAGCGGCGACCGACAGCGGTCCCGACGACCCGACAACGAGGAGCCAGCACCAGCCGCGCTGGCTCCTCCGTCGCCATGTCGCCGACCTCGTCTGGCGAGCGGCCGGCCGCCGGCGACCGGGCTTCCGCGCGGCACTGCCGGCGCGGACGCGGCCGCACCTGGCGCACGTCGCCGCGCCGCGCAGCGACCAGCCCCCGCCGAAACGCGACGGCAGCTGGTGGCACGATTCACGGCCAGAGCGTCCCGCCGTCGGCCGACGTGAAGACGCGCCGGCCGGCGGGCGGCGTTCGGGGGCGCCGAGTGCAGCGACAGGCGCGCCGGTCTCCGGGGAGCGAGCGACGAGGCCGCGGGGCGAGCTGAGAGCGCCGCTGGGATGGGCCGGCGTCGATAGAGAGGTCGCGTCTTCCGCCGCCTGGCCGACGTCTTCCGTACTCAAGAGGCAGCCGGTGCAGCTCATGTTTACAAAGTCTGATGCGAGGCCGCTGAGCGTGGTGTGAAAGAGGTGCCCTGCGAAGTGCCATGTGTACCCGGAAAACGCTTTCCGGGACGTTGCTCTCCTGCTTGTTTGTAGTGATAGTAAACAGGATAAAACTGTGCTGAATAATGCAATGGGCTGACACATTAACGTCGTCGTAACCCAGCGGCACGCCTGACGTATTAAGGCTATATTTAGGTGCTTGCTGCGATTCACTTTTATTCATGGCCGGCTGCCAAGAGCCGGTTAGTTCCAGTTGGCTAGTAAACCACTTCACGACTTGCCATGTTTCTCGAATGCAACACTCAAGCGAGCTTCTGAGACATACTGCAACCTGGTCAGACGCGTTACCGGAGTTCGCTCGGCGGTACTTAGTCATCCGGCCAGGCCTTCTCCCCTGCGGCTCTAGGTCAATCACAAATCCCGTCTGGAGGTCGCTGTCCCTGGCGTCTGGCGGCCCTTGCCCCGGCTGGAGCAGCACTGACGCAAGGGCGTCCGAGTCGCACGACCACCTCCGGAGGTCTCGACGGCACTCGTGAAGCGTCTTTCCCTGAACGCCGTGGAGACCATCAACGCCTCATCTGGCGGCTGCGGCCACCGTGTCCCGGGAGACCGGAAGGCGCCCACTCTCCGCCTCGTGTGCCGGACGTTTCCCAACCGCCGACACGATGTTAACAGGCCGTCCCGATCTGGGAAGCCGCCGCCAGGCGCGAGCAGAACACGCTCGCGCCTCGTAAACCCACCGCGTCCGCCAGATCGCCATCAGATGGCCGGCGGAGGTCGGGCGAGACGGCGGGGCGGGGCAGGAGGGGAGGGAGCCTCGGTCACCTGTGCGCGCCGTCGCCCGGCGGCCCGGCGGCATTTCCGCCGGCACCCGCGCCACACGCGTCGCCACCGCTCGCCGGCCGGCCGAAGCATTTCCGATTGGTGCCGATTCCGGCGAAGGCACCGCCGCCGCCCGGGGACGGCAGCGGGCGCGGAAAGCTTCGCCGAAGCGGTGTGGGCGGCGGCCGGGCGCACAAGGCAAGGGCGACGTTCAAATTAGACTCCGTAAAAACCCACGTGGCGGTGGCACGCCGGCGCGGCCCCGGCAAATGCTCCATGGAAACGCGAACGACGTCGCCGAAACGCTCGTGACCTTCGCCGCCGCCGGTCGGCGGGGCAGCCCTGCCGTCAGTGCTGCCATATCGGGAGATTATGGTCACGGGCGGGTCCGGCTGAAGGCGCTTTGTTTCGAGTTGGAATGAGTTCGGCGGGCGCCATCCCAGTCACACCCGGTTGCGAGAAGTTCTCCCGAAGAGGAGTCACGAGACAGACGGCCGTCAGCGACAGCGATGATCCCGGCGCTGACGACGCTCAAGCCCATACGTGAGATGAGAACACAAGCCCATACGTGAGATGAGAACAAAAGCACCTGACGGATAATTCTCTCGGAAAGCGCAAGCCCCGACTGAAACGCAAGGCACTAACGGACAGCGGTGCAGTAATGTGGCCTTTTAAGCCGCCAAAGCCCCACAACAGTTAACACCGTATTTCTGCGGACGGCACGAAATGAAGCGTGGGCGTCATCATCTTCCGCTGGATCATCATAGGCCGGGCTAGCAACGGGACCGCACGGCACGCCACGCACGCAGCCCGACTGACCGCCTCAGCCGGCGCCGCTGCGCCCCAGCCGTTCAGCGTCTGGGAACGCCGGCGTCGGAACGAGCACCGAGAGCGCGCCGCTGCAGTCGCGGCCGTCGCGCCGGCGGCGTCTGCGCCGTGCTGGGCGTCTGTCGTGTGCTGCGTCGCAGTCGCCGGAGTTCGGGCGTACTTGTGAGGCGCACACGCGGGCCGCCGTAACTGCGCGGCGCCGCTGTGCCTGGTCCGAGTCTGGTGCATGTGCGCCGTATGGGAGGGGTTGTCACGTGCGCCAATAAACAAGCGACGCAGTGGGGACCAGAATTTCGCGAGTGGTGCTGGCCATCATGGCTGCCTAGCATACTACCGTATTACTACATTTAAATTACTACCGTATTATTACATTTAAAATTGAAACGTCAAGTGTACAACTGAAAGAGTACTTTAAATCATAGCGATACCGCAGTGAAATGGACACAACACTTTAAACAAGAGATCGTGTTCTGTTTCGCAAACTGCTGCAATGAGCCGACAGCATCTTATGCGTCTGATAACCCGTCACATGCGTCTGCGGTATTCACCAGTGACGTCAAATGCATACCGCAAAGATCCGCAAAGATACAGGTGATGTTACACTTGTTGGACACTTGCCAGGTCCGGGAAGCGACTTCCTCGTTAGTAACCTGTTGGGATGAATTCTACGCTCAAGGAGAGGCGGGGCACTCCACGGGCCATCACCGTCTTCAGATCAGTGATGATGCAAGTCCAGATACATGTTGCAATGCGGTAAAGATCAGATCCGCAAAGTACTTTCCTTCGTCATTCAAACTGACGTTGTGACCATACGTTGAACTTCAAGAGAGCAGGATGCTTTTAACTTGAACGGGACACTCTTGGTTTCCTGCAACGGCGTCCCATCTTCCAGGATCGGATAAAGATGTAAGTCATCGCTAAGTCCACTTTGTTGGAGGCCATGACGCAGTTTTGGAGAGAAAAAAAAACTTTCCTGGGAAAAACCGGAAAACTTCGCCTTGCCAGCTCACGAACAACATAACTCAGCAGTTGTGGCCTGGCCACCTTTTCGCCACTGCTTTCCACAGGAGATCTGAGCGTCTCGTTCTGAGCAGGTAAAACACGCAGCATACCATGACCAAGTGAGCTACGGACCTCATCGCAGCGCATTTCCCACGCCGCTATCTCGGGCCGACCCTGGGCATGGGCCCGCACTGCGCAAGTGCGTCATGCACCGCAAGCTCAAGGCGCCTCCAATTAGCGGCCACTTGCGCCTACCGTAAATGCCCGCTAAAAGCGTAGGAGTTCAGAACCGTAGCATTTCAAAAAGGCAAGTGATTTTTAACACGGCACCCACTGCGTCCAGTACTGTGTGCTACCCATTCGCACCCTCACATGCCGTCCCCCACCTGGGCCGCGCGGCCGGGCGGCGGCGCGCCGCTGCTGGCCGCCGCCGGCCATCACCGCGCGCCGCCGCCGTCGGCACCCGGTTACGGCCGATATCAGTGTTGGTGCAGGTCGGCGGCAGCGATGCCGGCGCCCTGCCGCGGCGCGCCATCAGCGGCGGCGCGCCGCGGGCCGGCCTAGCCACCAGGCGCCGCGCGCCGCCCGCCAGCGTCGGCACCGGCGACGACGTTCGGTGCCCTGCCGCCGCCGCAACGCACGGTGGCGCAACGGCGGCGCGCAGCGCGCGTCACGCCGCCGAGACGGATGTGGCGCACGCGGCGGCGCGGGAAGCCCGCGCCGGCGCGGTCGCGCCGCCGCCGCAGCCGGGGCAATTATCGACGGCAGGTAGCGCAGCCGGCAAGATCTCCACCTGAGCCGCCGCTCGCTGGCGGCCAGGGCCGGTGGTGGTGACCCAGCGGGAATCCCGGCACCCCGTCCCGCCCCCGCCCCGGCCACCTTCACACGGTGGTGTCGCGCACCGCCTGCGTCTGTCCCCGCCGCCAAGGTTTATGGTGTCGAGGCGGACCTGGGCGGCCGCGGCGGCGGGACCGGCGCCGACGCCGGTCCGTGGCGGCCCCGCGCTCACGACGCCGCCTGCCGCCGGGCCCCGCCGGCGGGCTTGTCAACGGACGCTTCGCCAGCGGGAGGACTGGAGAAGGCCGAAGGATGTCACTGTGGCCCGAGGTGGCAACAGTGCTGGAGTCATGGAGTGGAGTTGGGAGACGGGATGTTTTGGTCTGGTGATATGTGCGCACCTTCGAACTTCTGTGGCAAGAACCAAACATAGGGCTTATCGGAAGGCCAGTGTCCTGGTTCAGCAATGAATGATACAACCACATCTGCATTAAACTGCTCTCGGACTAACGGCACATATCAGAGCGTATCAACGACCATGCACCAACAGCGCCAGCTTGCGATGGTGTCGCGGTACTTACGAACTGTTCCATCAGCTCGTCCACCTTGGGCCGCACCACCCGGTTGAGGTTGATGATGCGTTCCAGGATCTGGGCGTCCGAGGAGGTCGGCATGTTCATGTCGCCGGCGCCGTCCAGCAGCAGCGACTGGTCGATGGCGCACGGGTTCTTCCACTGAGACTTCCGCGTGGTCGGTGCCGACATTGCAGTAGGCAGCAGCAACGACGACAGGAGCAACAGCAATACTGACGGGTCTGCGAAGCAGAGGCGACTGTTATACCAAAGGGGAACCACAGACAAGCGACGCTTCCAGAGGCCGTGTGATGAGTTTGCGACGGGAAATCCATGGGCAGGCTGACGAGTGTTTTCCGGCGTGACGTAAGGTGTTGATCGGCGCGAGGGTAGGCGACTCAGATTGCAGAAATCACGCAGCGACCACGAGACAAATACCAAGACGAGATAACAAAAACGGCGACGAGACCGATGCACAGACATGGTGTGTCCGCAGCACATGGCGGGCCGTCTCTGAGCGCAAATCACGAAAAAAACGGACATATCGCGCAGCACACCGAAAGGGCGGGAGTTCGTGCAGCTTGTGTTGAGCCTGCACAGTGGTGCCAACGCTTGTCAGTGAACAACAGCAAGAGGTCATCATCCGAAAGATAATCGCTTCAGACCAGGGTAAGCCCCGTGTTGCACCAGGTGGCCGCTGCGGCGGCCAGCCACAGATCACGACTTCCTTTCATCACCTCGAACCCGACGCACCTCCCTATCCCGCGCCGCACCCACACCGCCACCCCCAGCCAGCCGCGCCGCGCCCCCGCGGGGCGGCGCGGCGCGTTCCGCGGAGGGCGCGCCGTTTTCGCCGGAGCGGCGCGCCGCCGCCGGCCGGCCGCCCAGACGACCGTGTCATTGCGGCAGCCGGCGGCGGCGCGCTAACGGAGGCCCGGCACACACGCGGCCGCCATGAGAATGACAGAAAATTACGGAGCCGATGCTGCAGCGGCTATTGGCGATGCGAAACGGGCGGCGGCGGCGGCGCCGCGGGCGGCGGCCGCCGTCTGCGCGGCCGCGGCCCGTGGACAGCGCGCCGGCCGGCCGCGGCCGGCGGCGCGCATTGCCGGCATTCCGTGCCGCGTTGCCGGGCGCCGGCCGCCAGGTCAGCGAGGTCACGCCTGGCGGGACGGCGCCAGCGGCGAGGGGCCGCACAGGGGACAGCGGCGCCCGGCGACCGACCGGCCGCCCGGGACAGAGGTGTCCGCCGCTGAACGGTGGGAGGGAGGGGGCGGCCGCAGAGACGGCTGGCGACGGTGGAGCCGACCTCTGACCACCGCGCGGAGCATGGCTGAGGCATGTGGAGGGCGTGCATCGCCAGGGTGTAGAGGGGTGCGGCTAGAGTGCAGACGCACAGCGATCGGGAAACGCTATGGTGCATTGGAGCATGCCCAGCGAATGCAGTCCAGCTGCAGAATAGGCGCCAGTTCAATGGGGCGACCGGTCTCGCTATTACAAAGCGCCAACCACCGCACAAATGACGCCAGGATGAAAATAGCGTCGCCAAGAGGGCGGAACTGTGAAAGATCCGTGAAGAGTCTCTCCCCAGTCTGTCAATGAAAACCTCTGATCGCAGAAGCACCGATCGAGCTGAAGTCTATCGCGCGGCTCTATCGGGCAACACGCCGCACGCCGTACCATGCTCCGATAAGTCCCTCTTGTGCGCCGCTGACCTGGTGAACGAGGTACAAGGTGCGGCGCCGGCCGTAACGCGGCCGGGTCGAAACGTAAAGGACAGGGCCGCACTTCACTGTAGAGATGAGATCACGGCCGTCCGGCGGCCGCGCCGGCTCCTGCACCAATAATAAGCATCTGCCAGAGGCGACAGCCGGCACACCACGGCCGACATTTCGGCAAATGCCGCGTCCCTGGTACTCGCACGCCGCGTTCTGCGTACAGGACGGCCCGAGGCGTGTGTGACGGCTGAGCGTCCGCCGTCACGGTCAGCAGCGGGCGCTCTGTCTGTTTACAACAGCTTTGCAGGAAAGGTTAGGCTTCGGCTCAGCCTCTCGTCAGCGACTGCACGACGCAGGCGCCCCCCCCCCCCCCTCCCCCCTCGTGCGGCTCTGACGTACATGACACGTTGTGGTGGCGGCCATAAGGTCCAAGTGTGCAGCCAAAGCTGTCACACTGAATAAAACAGTCGAGTGTCCGCTTTCTCCTCTCTCTCCCGTTCAAGACTAAAAGGCAATGTAAAGGGTAAAATAAGCGGTAAGTCATGTAGCATCATCATATTTTCTGTTTATAGGAGCACCTTTAACCAATATTGTAGCTCGCACAAAAAGATGGCACATGCTTCTTCTAACAAGATATTTTGCAACCCGTCTCAGGTGCAACGGCTTAGGCACCTGTTGCGTCTTTCGGTGTGGCCCACCCAGGAAAAGCCGCGACGAAAGAAGAATACCAACCGACTATACCTCTCGGAGTGGAAACTGACCATAGAAGACGCCGCATGTCCCGTAGGGTACACAGCCTTCTTCTCACTTCCTCCTTACGTAAGCCGAGAGCAGCCCCGTTGCTCCGTGAGAACGGTGACAAACAGTAGACGCGTGTTGCATACAGCTATCACGAGCTTCGTGAAGGCTAAGCTGCTCATTACGATCGGAGCAGGCCGCTAGTGTCCGACTGTAAGTAGACATCTGTCTGCTCTTCACTGACCGCCGCCAGAAACTGCCTAACAACACAGCAGCCGTCTCCCTGTCCTTGGACGCAACGCCAACGCCCTGCTCTGGCCGTCTTTGCATTCCACCCAAATCGATTCTTGAGCATGAACGTCGTCTGAACGACCCGGCAGCGAGACGGGGGGGAGGAGGCGCCAACGGGCAGGTTACCTTGGCAGGATGGCCCGCCGAGGCCCTCGCGAGGTGCACTAATGCGCCGGTGCACGGATCACTCCAAAGACACGGCCAGGCGTTGGCTGGTGCACAGCGCCGCGCTGGCATGGCGCCCGCCGCCGAGCCGTCCCATCCGGGTACGTCACGCCTGCAATTTTGGGTTCTGAACAACTTATGTGCGGTAGACTTTCTTGCATCCATCTGACGAGCGTCTTCCTTAGAGGGCGTTCGACTTTGAATTTGGGTGTCCTCGATCACAAAACTATCTCAAATCCTTCAAGATTGTTCCGATATTACGTTGAATCCGTCTGGGTATAAATGCGGTTGAAATCGTTTGTTTTCGGGGCTTATCGATCACATGCAGAAGAAGACTTTTCTCAACAGCTGCATTATAACGGCTCAGTTTTTGATCCCCCGTTCTTGAACAGCTCGAGGGGCTCACCAATCCTTCCAGGCCTCCTGCCTCCAACTCTGCCCGAGATCCATGAGCCGGATAAACAGCCCAGCACCGTTTGAGCTCCCCTTAACGAGCTGCCTGACAGGAATAAAAGCAAGAAGTCACGTGGTACACCACGCCGAGCCAGGGAGCAGCGAATGACAAATTTCCTGCAAGACGGCTTCGACTTTCCAGCTGAGGCAGACGCAGCCACGACCGCGTGCGCAGCACTGCGACCACAGGCGAACCATACGCCCGCCGCTGCACACGACTTACGGCGCCATTTTTGTCGCGCCTGCGCCGCCCAAACCGTAATCTGTCACGTGCGGCGTTTTCCAGAGAAACCTCGCAAGCCGCTACGGGGGTGAGAACAAGCGGCGACACTTTCTAAAGTGTGCTCACGGCCCTCCTGCGGCGTCGGCGCCGGCGACCGGCCGGACCCCGCCGCCCCGGCGCCGCCCGGCGGCCGGCCAGGTCCGGCAGGCGCTCCGGAGGGCGTGGGTGGCGTGGCGGCGGGGGTGAGGGTACCGGACCGCGTCTGGCCCGGCCAGCCCCCAGGCCGGATCCGCTCGGCGGACCGGAGGACCAGCGCATGGGGGCGCACTGCGGCCGTTTCGCTACTGGGGGTCCGCTGCTTGCCCAGGGTTCCCGTGAGGGTCCGCTTGCGGGCCGCCGGCGGTGGCCAGCATTCTTGGAGGGAGCGAGAAAGGCCATTAGTTAAACACCCTTTCACAAGCGGCACCCTGGAAGAAAACACAGTCCTACCTACAGCCAGAGCGTTTATAAACGCACGACTATCACTAACCGTCCCACTACACCTCAGTCGACGGCCGTACCTAACGCAATCTTTTACCGCGACGAATCACGTTAGTGCATGGTAAAAGCACCACGCCGCTGTCCCTCAGCTTAACACACACCTACACAAACAAATAAACTAGGTCACAAAAAAGAACAATCCACCCGGGCTGCTGCTTATGCTTAGCAGCCAAAAGGCTGTGCCCCCTCCCCCTCTCCCGTGTGCGCGCCCCTCTGCTGTTAAGCTGACCATGACTATGGTTTCGCTTGTGGCCGTGGCCACAGGCGAGCGGGCAATTTGATAATCTATTTGGGTGGTTGTTTGGTATCTCCTTTAAGCCGCACCTCCTAGTAAATCAAAAGTCGGCTATTTTCAGCATTGACACTCAAGGGGAGAAAACAAGACAGGTTTTGGTCTTAGCCCGTCCACGCTATACTTGTCCCCACGACACAGGACCTTCTCATCGCGCGGCCGCTGCCGTTAATTTGTATTGCCACGACCTGCTGCGGGAGTGTCCGACTAGGCGTCATAAATCCTGGCTATCATCAACTTTGCGCGCTGTTTGAATTAACTAACGTTGCAGTTATCAGCTGAATGGCGCGAGCTTCCACGACTGCCGTTTGCAACTTCGCAATGAAGCCAAATCGCGCAAGCATGCTATCACTGTTTAGATCTACTCATGTGTCCCATATTGGAGCATAACGGTTATGATTACAACCGGTCGCATCTCGTCATGTGAAATAAAGCCAACACCCCCACAGAAACCGGAAAATCCGGCGGCCCCTGTGCCGAGCGGTTAGCCTCGATCGAAAGATAGCCCAGGAAAGTGCGGGTCGCCTGCCTGAAAGCAGCCCACCCGCGCCCACCACGTCACCGCGCGTGCCGTCGCCGGCGCACGTGCAGCATGTACGCCCGCCGAAGCCGGCCGGATCCGGGCGAGCGACGGGGCAGCCGACAGGCGGCCGCCGCCCGGCGCCCCGGCGTGGCCGGCCCCGCCGGGGCGGCGCGGCGCCTCCAGGACCGGCGCCCTGTCACTAACGGTAAACGTGTCGGTTCCGGTTGCATCACACGCCGATGACCTTCCATCGCCTTCGCTGTGCGGCGGCGCCCGTGTCGCCCTGCACGGTGGCGCAC